TTTGAGTTGGAGTCTCACTCTGTTGCCCAGACTGGAGTGCAGTGGCACGCTCCCGGCTACTGCAGCATCGACCTGCTGGGCTCCGGCGATCCTTCTGCTTCAGCCTTCCAAGTAGTGGGAACTATAGGTGCGCGCTACCATGGCTGGTTAATTTTTTATTTATTGTAGAGACGAGGTCTCACCAAATTGCCTGGGTGGGTCTCGAACCCGCGGGCTTAGGCAGCCACTCGCCTCGGCCTCCCAAAGTGCTGGGATTATAGGCTGAGTCACCGAGCCCGGCCTAACTTGATCTTTTAATTTATTGAATCTTGATTAAAAGAAATGTATTTTGTTGGCCAATCAGATTTCCTCCACTGTGAACTGTCTATTCATATTCTTTGCATGTTTTAAAATGGGGGTATTTCTTTTATGTCTTTTGGTAGGAATTCTTTGTGTCCTGTCAATAGTAACCCTTTTGACTGTTCTATATATCACAAAATTTAAAAAACTACTTTAGGCTGAGGCACGGTGGCTCATGCTTATAATCCCAGTGCTTTGGGAGGCTGAGACAGGAGGATTGCTTGAACCCAGGAGTTCAGGACCAGCCTAGGCAACATAGCGATACCTCATATTTTATTTTTATTTTTTAATTTATTTTAAAGATGTGGGGTACAATTCAGGGTTAGGTATACAATTGTTCATTATGCAGGTACTCTTTTGACAAAAAATTTTTAAAAATTAGCCAAGCATGGTGGAGTGCACCTGTAGTCCCAGCTACTTGGGAGGCTGAGGTCGGATGATCACTTGAGCCCGGGAGGCTTCAGTGAGCAGTGATTGGGCCACAACACTCCAGCCTAGGCGACAGTGAAGCCCTGACTTAAAAAAAAGAAAAAGTAGCTGGGCTCGGTGGCTCAGCCTGTAATCCCACGCTTTGGGAGGCTGAGGTGAGTGAATTGCCTGAGCCTGTGGGTTCAAGACTCGCCTGGGCAACTTGGCGAGACCTCATCTCTACAATAAAAAAAAAAATCAGCCAGGCGTGGTAGCGCATGCATGCCTGTAATTCCGGCTACTTGGAAGGCTGAGGCGGAAGGATCACCAGAGCCCAGCAGGTCGAGGCTGCAGTGGCTGGGAGCAGCCACTGCACTCCAGTCTGGGTGACAGAGTGAGACTCCAACTCAAAAAAAAAAAAAAAGAAAGAAAGAAAAAGTGCCGGGTGCGGTGACTCACACCTATTATCCCAGTACTTTGGGAGGCAGAGGTGAGAGGATTGCCTGAGTTCAGGTGTTTGAGACCAGCCTGGGCAACTTGTTGAGACCTCGTCTCTACAATAAATAAAAAAATTAGGCTGTGGTCCCAGCTACTCGGGAGGCTGAGGCGGAAGAATTGCCTGAGCCCAGCAGGTCGAGGCTATATTTAAACCTTTAATCTATCTGGAAATTATTTTATTTTATTTTATTTTATTTTATTTATTTTTACATATTTATGTAAAAATAATTTCCAGATAGATTAAAGGTTTAAATATAAAACCATGAGATATGGCACTTATGAGAACCAAGACTTAGGAAAATATGTGTCTTGGAGTGGGATGGGTCTTTCTAAGACAGAAAACCACAGGGCTATAAAACAGACAGCAGATCACCGTGCACGGCTTCAAAACTATGTTTTGATGACAGCAGTCTAAAAAACATTTAAAGCGCTTCCTCAAGACTTTATTGGCTCTTCTGTGACATTTATCCTTGCATATGTAGTTTAAAATTATCCTGTTTCATTAAGAATAGCACAAACATCTCCAAGCTTCCTCTAATTCCTCCTGTTTCCCCAAACAGCATTGAATTGATGTGTTAATTTGTGATAAGTTGAGTTGCTGTTAGTTTTTCCATTTTTTTCAGGTCTTGTCTTTAAATAATATTTATAAGTTTCCTCATCAAATCCTGCAGCTTTCTGGATGAATTAATTCCCAGGTGTCTTATCATTTTATCATGTGAATAAGATACATGTTATTACTAGTTTGGAGAAGTTTTTTATTTTTTTTATTTTTATTTTTTGGTGAAGTCTTCCAATTTTCTAGAAATATAAAACATTTTTATTCAAACAGTGTCTTCTAGCTTTTTTAAAAAATATGAGACCGGGTGCGGTGGCTCAGTCTGTAATCCCAACACTTGGAGGTCGAGGCGAGAGGATTGCCTGAGCCCAGGGTTTCAAGACCAGCCTGGGCAACTTGGTGAGACCTAATCTCTACAACAAATCACAAAAATTAGCCAGGCGTGGTGGCGTGCACCTGTTGTTCCAGCTGCTTGGAAGGCTGAGGCGGAAGGATCGCCTGAGCCCAGCAGTTTGAGGCTGTGGTAGCTTTGAGCATGTCACTGCATTCCAACCTGGGTGACAGAGTGAGACTCCAACTCAAAAAAAAAAAAAAAGTAAGAGTTTTAATTTTTTTTTTTTTGAGTTGAAGTCTCACTCTGTCACCTAGGCTGGAGTGCAGTGGCACGATCTCGGCTCAACCTCTTGGACTCAGGAGGTCCTTCCGCCTCAGCCTCCCCAAGTTTTAATTTCAGTTATTTTATTTTCTTGTTTTATTACATAAGCTCAAAACTCCAGGATAAGCAGAGTGTGAATAGAAGTAACACAGTCTAGTTTTGCTTTTTAATAATAATAGAGTTAGTATAAAACCACCTTTATAGCCGGGCTCGGTGGCTCAGTCTAATCCCGCGCCTTTGGGAGGCTGAGGTGAGTGGATTGCCTGGGCCCGCGGGTTTGAGACCCGCCTGGGCAGTGAGACCTCATCTCTACAATAAATCAAAAAATCAGCCGGGCGTGGTAGCGCATGTCTGTAATTCCGCCTACTCGGAAGGCTGAGGCGGAAGGATCGCTGGAGCCCAGCAGGTCGAGGCTGCAGTGGCCAGGAGCGGCCACTGCACTCCAGTCTAGGCGACAGAGTGAGACTCCAACTCAAAAAAAAAACCAAAAAAAAAAACCCCACCTTTATGATTTTGCTTTTGGGCTTTGGTAAATATGTTCATTGTGTTTGGATAGTTTTTTCTAATCTTATTTCCTTCATTTTCTATTTGAACTTTCACCTGTCCTGGCTCCTGGATGGTTAATTAATTATAGGACTGACTCACCAAGAAACGCCTGCCTCATTCAGGGACTCGGGAGTCCAGGTCCCCAGCCCTCTCCTCCCTTGAGAAGTCAAGCATTACTGTCTCCACAATCTAGCCTCCTCCGGAAGTCCTCAAAGAAACAATTCCCATGAGCCTCAGAACAGAGGATTATGAAGAGGCCAATGTTTGCCCCAGGGACTCCTGGGAAATGCGGTTCTGTCCCATCTCCAGCAAAGGCTGATGGGAGGTGACCAAGCCCCCTTCTCTTCTTGCGTCAGGGACTGGAATCGACATCCCTGTCCTCCTCCTCCTCATCGACGGTGATGAGAAGATGTTGGAGGTACGAGGGCCTGGGGGCTTGGGTCTAAGGGAGAAGGGGGTTTGTGACCAGGACTCCTGGGTCCTGAGTCTTCCGGGAGGATGGGCTGAGGGCCTGGACACCGGATGGGGTGAATCCTGCCTTTTCTGACCTAACTCTCGCCTTGGTCCTGTAGCGAATAGAGAACGCCACCCAGGCCCAGCTCCCCTGCCTCTTGGTGGCAGGCTCTGGGGGAGCCGCAGACTGCCTGGCGGAGACACTGGAGGACACTCTGGCCCTGGGGAGTGGCGGGATCAGACGAGGGGAAGCCCGAGATCGGATTAGGCGTTTCTTCCCCAAAGGAGACCCTGAGGTCCTGCAGGCCCAGGTATGACACTGGGGACTCAACTCTGGATCCTGAGAGGGGGGAACTGGGGACCCGGGCCTCTGGGTCTGAGAGAGGAGGGGGCCGGGGGCCTGGGCTTCTGGGTTCTGGGAGTAGAGGGTGCCGGGCCTCTAGACTAGGTCCTGGAGGGGAATGGCCTCCTGCATCACTCTGGACAGGGCCTGGGAGGAGCTGGGCTGGGATGCAGAGTCTGGTGTTCTGCAGGTGGAGAGGATCATGACCCGGAAGGAGCTGCTGACAGTCTATTCATCTGAGGACGGCTCTGAAGAATTCGAGACCATCGTTCTGAAGGCTCTTGTGAAGGGTAAGAGTCAGATCCCCCGTTCTCCCTCTCGCTCAGCTCCGCTTTGGACGCCTTTCATGGCCAGGATACTTTACTCATCCTCTCCACTCTAAGGCCCCGGCCCCTTGTGACCGTCTTCTGTTTTTCCCTTTTGCTGTGTGTCTTGGGGCTTTGTGTGGTGCTCTTTGGGTAGCGTGCCCCAGATGCTTTCACGATACTCAACATCTGCTTCCCTCTGTTGAATCCTTCCATCCGTCCATCCACCCACCCATATATACAGATCGATCTTTCCATGTACACATCGACCATTTTTCCATTCCTCCCTCTTTCTTCCATCCTTCCATCCATCCATCCATCCTTTCACCTATCCATTCACATATCCATTGACAATTCCATCCACTCATTCTTCCATCCATCCATGAACCCACCCACCCACTCATTCACCCATCCATCCATCCATCCTTCCATCCATCCATCCATCCATCCATCCATCCATCCATCCATCCATCCATCTACTCACTTGCACAGACTGATCTTTCCATCTATACATCAACCCATTATTTCATCCATCCACCTCTCCATCCATCCACTCACCTGTTCATATCCCTGGACAATTCCAACCTCTCATCCATCCATCTATCCATCGTTCATTCACCCATCCATTTATCCATCTACCCATCCATCTTTTCATTTATCCCTCCAACTTTTCTCCCATCTATCCATCCATCCACCCATTCTTCTTTTCCTACATGCCTACGGTATGTGTTAAGTACTTTTTTCTTTCATTCGGGGTCTCACTGTGTCTCCCAGGATGGAGTGCAGTGACATGGTCACAGCTCACCACAGACTCAAACTCCCGGGCTCAGGCAATCCTCCCAACTCAGCCTCTCTAGTAGCTGGGATTACAGGCATGACTCATTCATTTTTTTTGTAGAGACTAAGGTTTCGCTATGTTGCCCAGGCTGATCTGGAACTCCTGGGCTCAGGCAATCCTCCTGCCTCAGTCTCCCAAAGTGCCGGGATTATAGGTGTGAGCCCCTGAGCCCAGCAGTACTTTGTTTTACGTGATCCAAGCATTGTCTCCCAGTGAGGAGCTCCTGACATGGAAATGAAGGCAGAAAGCATAATGACCACTTGGAAGAGGCTGCAGCTCATTTATTCATTCAACAAGCATCATCCTGGGCTCCGGAGATTAAAGCAGATTCATTTCCTGCTCTCAAGGACCCCAGCTCCTACCAGAGTTGTTTGAACGGTCTCAAGTAAAATTTAAGACAACAACACAGGGAAGAATCACTGTCCGTGGGGGAAAGACTTCAAGGAGAAGTTGGGGTTTAAACTGGGCCTTGAAGAGGCAATAGAATTTGAATTTAGTAAGCTGGGGGATGGGATAGTTAAGAGGTAAGGAAGATTCTGACCAGGCAAGGTGGCTCAAGCCTGTAATCTCAGCACTTTGGGAGGCCGAGACGGGAGAATCACTTGAGCCCAGTGGCGTTCAAGACCAGCCTGGGCCACATAGCGAGACCCTCTTTCTACCAAGAATAAAAATAAAATAAAAAGCTGAGCATGGTGGTATGTGCCTATAGTTACAGCTGCTTGAGGCAGAAGGAATGCCTGAGCCCAGGAGGTCGAGGCTGTGGTGAGCCATGATTGTGCTACTGCCCTCTAGCCTGGGTGATAGAGCCAAAAAAAAAGAAGAAGAAGAAGGTAGGGCGATTCTGAAGACTTGTTGGGGATGTGGCTGTGTGTGGATGGGGGATGGTCGTTTTTCATGCCAGAAAAATTTTATGGAGGAAACACCTACTTAGAGAAAAACTCCCCCAGAGGCATCGTGGCAACATATAGAACCTTTTCAGGCTCAGGTCCTCACCCCAGGTGTATCCACCGTTTTTGTGGCATAGTAAAAAGAACTGTTACTTTTGATTTGGGAATCAGACACAGCTGAATTTCAATACCAGCTTGGCTCCTTCCTTGCTGTGCAACCTTGAGAAAGAGACGTTTCTGCTCTGAGCCTCAGTTTCTGTCTCTGAACCACGGAGGTACTACCTTGCAGAGGCAAGGTACCACCTTCAGAGGCAAGGTATGAGCCATGCCTGGTCCTCAAAGGGGGCCCAACAGATGGGAGTACTTCTGGTGATTCCATTTCCCGCAGGTGCACATCCTTAGATGTAGGGTGACTGTCAGTGGACAAATACTATTCACTCTACAAGAGGGACTCATAAAAGCTGGAATTTATTTATAAAAAATTGTGTATTGATTCTTACATGTTTAAACTTCAGTTACCTTCAAAGTACTCTCCGTTTGATGCAATACACCCATCGAGATGCTTTATCCGCCACTCAAAAGTTTCTAAACGCATCGATTTTTTTTTTTTTTTGAGTTGGAGTCGCCCAGACTGGAGTGCAGTGACCGCTCCCAGCCACCGCAGCCTCAATCTGCTGGGCTCTGGTGATCCTTCCGCCTCAGCGTCCGAGTAGCCAGAATTACAGGCGCACACTACCACGCCCGGCTAATTTTTTAAAATGTATTTATTGTAGAGATAAGGTCTCACCAAGTTGCCCAGGCGGGTCTCGAACCCGCGGGCTCAGGCAATCCACTCACCTCAGCCTCCCAAGGCGCGGGATTACAGGCTGAGCTACTGAGCCCGGCTTGAACATGTCCATTTTGATGCCTTTGAGTGCTTCTGCCATTTTTTGTTTCACCTCTTCCACACTGGCAAAACATTTCCTTTTGAGAAATTTTTTCATCCAGAGAAACAAAAACGAGTCACTTGGGGCCAGATCGAGTGAATAGGGAGGGTGGGGCATGAGAGTCATGCTGTCTTTGTTCAAAAACTGCTGAACACTCAGCATAGTGTGGGCAGGTGAGCTCGTAAATCACTCATCATAAAATGGGCAGATGCCTTGAGAGAATCTCCAAAAAAATTTAAAAATTCACTGAAGCCGAATATAGCCTCTCACAACAATGCTAACTGGTTCACTGATGCCAATGGGTTCCTAGAACACTTACCTGGCAGGGGAAGCCTGTACTACAGGGGGCCCCCTTCCAAAATTTAATTCCGGTTTTTGATGGGTCCTCCTTGTGTATAAAGAATTCAGCAGCCTCCTGGGAGCAAGCATGGCAGCTCAGAATGGTGTGGTTTGAGGGGGTGGGGCTCTGAACCTGCTGCCTGCAAAAGTGGAAGTGATGGCACTCTGTTGAGGAAACTGGAGATGCCGATGGGCTTGGCGACAGTGGTGTCGAATGGATAGGGTTTCAGCCAGAAGCAAGGTGAAGGGCATGAGCACTCCTTAAGAGTCTAGTATGGGCCAGGTGTGGTGGCTCAAGCCTGTGATCCCAGCATTTTGGGAGGCCGAAGCGAGAAGATTGCCTAAGCCCAGCAGTTCGAGACCAGCTTGGGCAACTTGATGAGACCTTGTCTCTATAGTTAAAAAAAAAAAAAATTAGCCAGGTGTGGTAGTGCATGCCTGTTGTTCCAGCTACATGGAAGGCTGAGGCGGAAGGATCACCTGAGCCTGGCAGGTCCAGGCTGCAGTGGCCATCAGCGTGCCACTGTACTCCAGCCTGGGTGACAGAGTGAGACTCCAACTAAAAAAAAGAAAAAGAAAGAGTCTAGTATGGCCAGTGCAGGGCTGGGCAGGTGAGTAGGTGGCGTACGCTATTACCCTTCATACCCTATCCCTGCCTGCAAGGATTATTTCCCCCATTTTGCAGATAAAGAGATTAAGGCTCAGAGAAGGGAAAAGTGATTTGTCTAAGGTCACTCAGCAAGTGACAGGGGTCAGATTTTTCATCCAGGACTGTGTGACTCTCAAGCCCATTGCAAGGGGCATGTCGGGGGCAAAGTATGAAGGGAGTGTTGGAGACAAGGTCAGTGAGGCAGGCAGGGCCAGACCACCCAGGACCTCAAATGCCAGGTGGAGGAACTCAGCCTGTCCTGAGAGGCAGGGAGGGACCCTCTGGGAGTGGGCAGGGGCAGACTGGAGATGAGAGACAGGATCTCGAGCAAAGGGAAGAGACTGAAGTGACGGGGATGGGGAACTGGTGAAGCTTAAGATGCAGCTGGGACCAAAGGGACAGTGGGAGAGGGTTGACAGAGTCATGTGGCTGGACATGGGGCTTGGGGACTGATGGACTGTGGGCTGGGAGGGCAAGGGAGGGACAAGAACAGTATCAGGGTGCAGTTTTGTGATACCAGGTTTTGGAATGGTCAAAATGAGGTGAATTTTCTCTGGAGATAGATGTGGAGCAAGTGGAGGCAGAAGGAAAAACTAACTCCATGGCACAACAAGTGCTCTTCAGGACTTCTCATACCCCTGTTGACTGCACATGTTGGATCCATTAAATAACTGGATCAAAACGTAAAGGCCTCTTGTTCCCTCTTGCTGATTTTAATGACCTCCAGGGTCTCCCAGAATTCCTCTAATGTTCAGATTTTTTTTCCAACCTCATTTTCTGCTTTGTCATCTCTTTCCTCTTACAGAATATCCCAAGCTTCCTAAGTTAGACTGACTCACATTTGTGATCGATGCTGCATTTTCTTGCACCCAGGCCTTTGCTCAAGCTGTCCCTACTGTCTTGAAGTTTCTTTTCCCACCTTAGGTGCATACCTCCCAATCCTAGTGGTCTTTCAAAAGCCCTACCTCTCTTGGGTCACTCCATACCTCTGTGACTGTAGCCTTCTCTGGGCCGAAATCATATTCTGTGCTCATCTCTGAGGGCCCTGAGTGTTCTGAGGGTAGTTACATGTGTCTGGATGCACTTCTAGTAGTATCAGCTCCTTCGGGGCAGAAACTGTATTCAGTTTCTCTTTCCATTTCCATTTCAGTTTCTCTTCCCATTGCCTGGTCCATAACTTACCTCAACAAACATTAAATAAATGATTACCTTTCCTTTTTTTTTTTTTTTTTGAGTCAGAGTCTCACTTTGTAGCCCAGGCTGGAGTACAGTGACACGCTCATGGCTACCACAGCCTTGATCTCTTGACCTGCTGGATTCAGGTGATCTTCCCATATTAGCCTTCCAAGTAACTGGAATTACAGGCCCACGCCACCATGCCCAGCTAATTTTTTTTTTTTTTTAAGTTGGAGTCTCACTGTTTCCCAGACTGGAGTGTAGTGGCTCGCTCCCGGTCACCGCAGCCTCAACCTGCTGGGCTCCGGCGATCCTTCCGCCTCAGCCTAATTTTTTATTTATTGTAGAGACAAGGTCTCACCAAGTTGCCTGGGTGGGTCTCGAACCTGCGGACTCCCAAAGTACTGGGATTACAGGCTGAGCCATCAAGCCCAGCCACAGCTAATTTTTTGATTTACTGTAGAGATGTGGTCTCGCCAAGTTTCCCAGGCTGGTCTTGAAAACCTGGACTCAGGCGATCCTCTCGCCTCTGCCTCCCAAAGTGTTGGGATGACAGGCGTGAGCTACCGTGCCCGGTCCTTTCCTTCTTGAGAGCTCTAAACCTCAGTCTGTGCTCTGGCCCTGAGCCAAATGAACTTATGCCTGTAATAGCCTGACTGCTTAAAGACCCCAGACTCTGCCTAGTAACACCCTCTTTTATAAAGAAGCTTGTCAGGCCTGGGTAGAGTGGTTCATGTCTGTAATCTCAGCACTTCAGAGACTGAGGTGGGAGGATTGTTTGAGCCCAGGAGTTCAAGACCAGCCTAGGCAACACAGCAAGACTTCATCTCTACAAAAACAAATTAAAAAAGTTAGCCAGGTGTGGTGGCATGTGCCTGTAGTCCCAGCTACTCAAGAGACTGAAGTGGAAGGATCATCTGAGCCCAGGATGTGGTGAGCTGGGATTATCCCACTGAGCTCCAGCCTGGGTGTTAGAGACTCCGATAAAAACAAACAAACAAAAAGAGATAAATAGAAGTAAAATAGTCCTTCATCAGATGTTCCGGCTCCCCCTGACTCCTGCCCCCTGTCCCTCTCCTCCTTCCAGCCTGTAGGAGCTCTGAGGCTTCCGCTTACCTGGACGAGCTGCGTTTGGCTGTGGCTTGGAACCGCGTGGACATTGCCCAGAGCGAACTCTTTCGGGGGGACATCCAATGGCGGGTGAGGGGTCAGGGCCTGGAAGTTGAGGGTTCTGACGAAGGAAGCGCTTCCCTCCCTCTCAGTCTACTCAGACACCCAGCCGTGCCTTTCATTATGGCCTGTCCAGCCTTTCCTAATTGCCCGTCCATCTCTGATTGGCCATCTGCCTTCATCTTGTTCCCTCAGCCACCCATCTGTCCATCCATCACTCATGACCCTGCACCCCCGTCCCTTGCTTTTGCCCTCTGAGCTCACCTGGCCCTCTGTCTCTCTGCCATCTCTTCCCCCGTTCATCCTCCCCTTGCCAGTCCTTCCACCTGGAGGCCTCCCTCATGGACGCCTTGCTGAATGACCGGCCCGAGTTCGTGCGCTTGCTTATCTCCCACGGCCTCAGCCTGGGCCACTTCCTGACCCGGTCGCGCCTGGCCCAGCTCTACAGCGCGGCGCCCTCCAGCTCTCTCATCCGCAGCCTTCTGGACCAGGCGTCCCACGGCTCGGGCACCAAAGCCCCAGGCCCAAAGGGGGGTGCTGTGGAGCCCCGCCCCCCTGACGTGGGGCAGGTGCTGAAGATGCTGCTGGGGGAGATGTGCGCGCCGAGGTACCCCTCCGGGGGCTCCTGGGACCAGGGCTACCCGGGCCAGGGCGGCGAGGAGAGCGTAAGGACCGGGCGAGGCCGGGGATGTGGGGAGGGACTTGGCGGGGTCACACCAGGGAAGGGGCGGGGCCCGTTCTCACAATGCTCCCCTTTGCCGGCAGGCGGGTCTGCTCCCCGACAGGACCACCTCGGAATTGTCCCTGGACGCTGGCCTCGGGCAGGCCCCATGGAGTGACCTGCTCCTTTGGGCACTGCTGCTGAACAGAGCCCAGATGGCCATGTACTTCTGGGAGATGGTGAGAGGGACTGTGGCCTCTGATCCCGCCCTCCCGTGTCCCTGTCCTGGAGGCCTTCCTGTGATGCCAGTGCCCACCATACAGTTCTCCAACCTCTGACGTCACGTCACCCCCACAGCACCCAGCCCCAATCTCTGTGTCTTCCAACTGCTGGGTCTTCCTTTTTTTTTTGAGTCGAAGTCTCACTCTGTTACCCAGGCCTGAGTCCAGTGGCATGCTCACAGCCACCGCAGGGCTCAGGTGATCTTTAGACCTTAGCCTGCCAAGGAGCTGGAACCACAGGCATGCGCCAGTACACCCGGCTTAGTTTTTGATTTATTGTAGAGATGAGATCTTGCCAAGTTGCCCAGGCTGGTCTTGAACCCCTGGGTTCAGGCAATCCTCTCGCTCAACCTCCCAAAGTGCTGGGATTACGGCCATGAGCCACTGCACTCGGCTATGTCCAGTTTCTTTTTCTTTTTCTTTTTTTTTTGAGTTGGAGTCTCACTCTGTCGCCCAGACTGGAGTGCAGTGGTCGCTCCCGGCCACCGCAGCCTCGACCTGCTGGGCTCCAGCGATCCTTCCACTCAGCTTCCAAGTAGCTGGAACTACAAGCGCATGCTACCACGCCCGGCTAATTGTTTGATTTATTGTAGAGATGAGGTCTCGCCTGCCCAGGCGGGTCTCGAACCCGCGGGCTCAGGCAATCCACTCACCTCAGCCTCCCAAAGGTGCGGGATTACAGGCTGAGCCACCGAGCCCGGCTATGTCCAGTTTCTTACAGATCCATCCCCAAACATTACTTTATCCTTGGACTCTGATGACCCCAGTTAAGTTCTGACTGCTGACTGTGTCCCTTGATCACAGGCTTTCTCCCTGCACCCTGACCCTGCTCTGAACGTCATCCATACACTGACTTATTCATGCCCCCTTTCTTTCTGTCTCTCCAGGGATCCAATGCCGTGGCCTCAGCTCTTGGGGCCTGTTTGTTGCTGCGAGTGCTGGCGCGCCTGGAGTCCGAGGCTGAGGAGGCAGCCCGGAGGAAAGACCTGGCGGCCAAGTTTGAGGGGATGGGTGTTGGTGAGTGGGGCGTGGTGCCTGGGAGCAGGCACAGGGTGCTGCCATGGGAGGGAGATGTGCACGTCTCCACCCTTCCCACACTCCTGCCCCTTCCCCTTCACTTTGCCTTTCTTTTCCCTCACACCCTTTCCCCACTCCTTCTCTTCCCTCTCGTCTAAATCCCTGGCCCCAGACCTCTTTGGCGAGTGTTACCGCAGCAGTGAGGCAAGGGCCGCCTGCTTACTTCTCCGTCGCTGCCCACTCTGGGGGGATGCCACCTGCCTCCAGCTTGCCATGCAGGCTGACGCCCGTGCCTTCTTTGCCCAGGATGGGGTCCAGGTGAGCATCTGGGACACCAACATCCCCCAAAGTCCCCAACTGGCCTCTGGGAACTATGGGGATGAGCCCTGGCCGATGGCAACAGTCCATGGTCTTGACCCAGCCCTGTCCCTGCAGACCACCCCTTCCCCAGAAAGTCTCACTTTTCTCTCAGAAAGGCTGCTCTTCCCCTAAGAAGCCCCCACTCCCTGCCACAGAGCAGCAACCTTCCCACAGCTAAGCCCATCCTCATACAAAGTGCCACCCCAGATGCAGGAATTCATGGCCATGCTAAAAGGAAGTCCCGCCTCATCCATAGGAAGTTTTCCCACGTTCTTAAGATGGCCTGAGTTCTGTTCGTGACAATTAGCATGACGTCACTGGACAATTACCCCGTCTTTTGGACAGAGACATACTTTGGCCCAGGAAATCTTACCCTTCCTGTAGGAAATCCTCTTCTTTATGAAGCCCTACTTCCACCCATAGTCTCTTCAATCCTGACCCTCTGGCATTTTGAAAACAACCTCAGTATTCTTAATTTAAATCTGACAGGAGCTCACAGAGTCCTACCCTCAGTACAGGGTGTTCTGCCCACCCAGCAGGAAGTCCCACCCTCATCTATTGTAATCATTTGGTGGGCATTTCAAATAATGACCCAGAGTCCCTTGCTTTTTTTTTTTTTTTTTTTAAGTCGGAGTCTCACTCTGTCGCCCAGCCTCAACCTGCTGGGCTCCAACGATTCTTCCGCCTCAGCCTTCCAAGTAGCTGGAACTACAGATGCACGCTACCACGCCCGGTTAATTTTTTATTTTATTGTAGAGATGAGGTCTCGCCAAGTTGCCTGGGCGGGTCTCGAACCTGCAGGCTCAGACAGTCCACTCCCCTCGGCCTCCCAAAGTGCTGGGATTACAGGCTGAGCCACTGAGCCTGACCTGGAGTCCCTTGCTTTGAATAGTGATTCAACTCATGGATTCCAGCTCTCCCGCTTACCGGTTATGTTTCTTTCTTTTTCTTTTTTATTTGTTTTGTTTTTTGAGTTGGAGTCTCACTCTGTCGCCCAGACTGGAGTGCAGTGGCCGCTCCCGGCCACCCCCACCTCGACCTGCTGGGCTCCGGCGATCCTTCCGCCTCAGCCTTCCGAGTAGCCGCAATTACAGGCGCGTGCTACCATGCCCGGCTAATTTTTTATTTATTGTAGAAATTAGGTCTCACCTTTCCAGGCGGGTCTCGAATCCGCAGGCTCAGGCAATCCACTCAGCTCAGCCTCCCAAAGGCGCGGGATTACAGGCTGAGCCATTGAGCCCGGCTTGGTTATGTTTCTTTGGGTCATTTCCTTAACCTCTCTGTGCCTCACGTGTCCAAGTAGAAGATATTAGTATCCACCCTTGCGCTGGTGTGTCAAGGGTTAAGTGAACTAATCTGTGTAAAGTGCTTAGCCCAGTACCTGGCATATAGTGCCAAAGAATGTTGGGTCTACTAGCCAGTTGTGTTTGCCTTGGACCACCGTCCCCGGTCCCCCCACAGTTATGGCCCCCCAGCTTAGGCACTTGCTCTGTACTCTGGAGGTGTGGCCCGACCTTGCCTGGGGTCTTAGGGAGGGGGCTGGGGGGGCAATTCAGCTCCTAAATCTCCCCACACCCCACAGTCTCTGCTGACACAGAAGTGGTGGGGGGAGATGGACAGCACCACGCCCATCTGGGCCCTGGTTCTCGCCTTCTTTTGCCCCCCACTCATCTACACCCACCTCATCACCTTCAGGTCAGTTCCCAGGGGGCTTAGAGCGGCAGGGGGAGGGGGGTGTGCACAGTTTCTCCTTCCTGCTCACTTCCGCTTATCTTTCTCACTTGGTCTGCCCGATGTCTCCTTCCCTGGGAAAGGGACTACTGCCTTTCCCTCCCCTAGAGGGAATACTTGGAAGGTTAGCTTTGGCGGTGCTTTCTGCGGTGTCTGGGAGGGCGATTCCGCTGCCTTTCTGGCCATGGCTCTGGCAGAAGATCCCTTGGGGGTGACTCTTGGGGGCCACCTGTTTGTCTCTGCGCCATGTCTCTGGGTGAAGAAGTCTGAGTGTTTCTGGAGAACTCCCCTCCCCGCCCTTCCCCTGAGGTGCACTCTGTGCCTCCCTCCATGCCAGGAAATCAGAAGAGGAGACCACACAGAAGGACCCAGAGTTTGACGTGGACAGGGCTGTTAATGGGGAAGGGCCTGTCAGGTGAGTGAAGACCCCAGCACTTTGTGAAGTGGGGCACCCTGGGCAGCTATGTGTCACTCCTCTCAGGGACTGGGACTTGAGGAGAGAGTGGCTTCAGCAAGCTGCTGAAGATACTGAGGAAGTTTCCAAAGCGCCATGTTTGAGGAGGCCAAGGTGGAAGGATGGCTTGACGCCAGAAGTTTGAGACCAGGCTAGACAACACAGTGTGATACCTATCTCTACAAAAAAATTAAAATTTAAAAAAGTAAAAAAACCCCAAAAAACTACGACTGGGAACAATGGCTCATGCCTGTAACCTTATCATTTTGGGAGGCCAAGGCAGGAGGATTGCTTGAGCCCAGGAGTTTTAGAGATCAGCCTAGGCAACACAGTGAGACCTCGTTTCTACAAAAAAAAGAAAAAAAATTGCCAGGCATGCTGACACGCACCTGTCGTCCCAGCTACTTGAGTGACTGAGGCAAGCTGGGCTTGGTGGCTCAGCCTGTAATCCTGCGCTTTGGGAGGCTGAGGTGAGTGGATTGCCTGAGCCCGTGGGTTCAAGACCCGCCTGGACAACTTGGCGAGACCTTATCTCTACAATAAATCAAAAATTAGCTGGGCGTGGTAGCGCCCGCCTGTAGTTCCAGCTACTCAGAAGGCTGAGGCAGAAGGATCACCGGAGCCCAGCAGGTCGAGGCTGTAGTGGCTGAGAGCGGCCATTGCACTCCAGTCTGGGTGACAGAGTGAGACTCCAACTCAATAAATAAATAAATAAATAAATAAATTAATTTTAAAAAAAGAGTGACTAAGGCAGAAGGATTGCCTGAGCCCAGCAGATCAAGATGGCAGTAACCATGATCGTGACACTGTCCTCCAGCCTGGGTGATAAAGTAAGGCCCTGACTTAAAAAAAAAAAAAAAGGGCCAGGCTTGGTGGCTCAGCCTGTAATCCCAGCACTTGGGAGGCTGAGGCCAATAGATTACCTGAGCCCCCGGGTTCGAGACCAGTCTGGGCAACTTGGCAAGACCTTGTCTCTACAATAAATCAAAAACTAGCCAGGCGTGGTAGCGTGCACCTAGAGTTCCGGCTACTTGGAAAGCTGAGGTGGAAGGATCGCTTGAGACCACCAGGTCGAGGCTGCAGTGGCCGTGAGCGTGCCACTGCCCTCCAGCCTGCGTAACAGAGTGAAACTCCAACTCAAAAGAAAAAAAATATTAAGCCCAAGCAAATGAAACAATATTTATCAAACTTCAGCTAATGCTGCATAGTAGAGGTGCTGAAGAACTTGGCTTTGAGTCAGGCAGACCTGGGTTCAAATCCTCATTTTGACCTCGGAAGTGACTTCACCCTGGAGCCTCGGTTTTCTTTTCTGTAAAATGAAGGTAAAGGGGACACTTAACCTGTGTCCTATTGATGCTGCAATAACAAAAAATAAAAATGAAAAATATCCCAATGGCTCCCAATCACACAGGTTTATTCCTCATACCCCATGAATGAGCTGACATTGAATCTGCCCCATGGGGTCTGCACTTGGGGTGAGTGAGCACCTGACACTCAGGCGTTGCTGGTCTCACGGCGGGAGGAAGAGCCCTGGCAGTCCTTGCCTGAATCTTAAAGCCTCCATGTGGGAGTCACACGTGCCCCCTTTGCCCACATTTCATTGGCAAAGCAAATCGTGTGGCAATTCCATAGTTCCTAATTCTCCCACAGGAAGAAGCAACCAAAATATTTGGTAAATAGTCATACAGCCAGCCGGGCTCGGTGGCTCAGCCTGTAATCCCAGCACTTTGGGAGGCCAAGGCGAGTGGATTGCCTGAGCCCGTGGGTTCGAGACCCACCCAGGCAACTTGGCGAGACCTCATCTCCACAATAAATAAAAAATGAGCCGGGTGTGGTAGCGCATGCCTGTAGTTCTAGCTACTTGGAAGGCTGAGGAGGAAGGATCGTCGGAGTCCAGCAGGTCAAGGCTGCAGTGGCCAGGAGCGACAGAATGAGACTCCGACTCAAAAAAAAAATAGTCATACAGCCAACCACAGTACTCATGGAGTGGTGATGGGGAGGCATTGAGATAATGTGTCTAAAAGGCATATCCTGAGGCCTGGCATGTAGTAAGTGGTCAACTCATGGGCCTTATTATTACTGTTGCAATTGTGATTACATTATTGCTTGTTGAACAGCTGTGTATGGGCACGTGTGCATAGAAGGTTCTAAATCCACAGTAACAGACAAACGGGAAGAGTCCAAAATTTATACTATCTTTGCATCCTCTATCTCCACTTTAACTACATAAATGGGGAGAGAGATAAGAGGAAAAAAATATGTTTCTGGTAACTGTTAGAAACCCATGGTCAGACTGCCAGAAGTTTGCAATCATGGCTCACCGCGGCCTCCAATTCCTGGGCTCAAGTGATCCTCTTGACTCAGCCTCCTAAGTAGCTAGGACTACAGGCACACATCACCATGCCTGGCTTATTTTTTTATTTTTTTGTAGAGACAAGGTCTCACTATGTTGCTCAGGCTGGTCTTGAACTCCTAGGCTGAAGCAATCCTTTTGCCTCAGCCTCCCAAAGTGCTGAGATTACAGACGTGAGCCACCACACCAGCATATGTGTGTGTGTGTGTGTGTGTGTGTGTGTGTAGAGTTTTCTAGGACAATGTACAAAGAATACAAAATATTTATCAAAAAAGAAAGGAAAACCTAAGAAAAAGGTTTGGGCCACTGGAAAAGGTTGGAGAGAATGTCCTCGTGTCAGAGGTCAAGGTCAACAGTGGAGTCCTTGCCTAGTGACTTTCCATCTTTTGCAGCATATGATGGTGATGATGACATTGATAACAGCTAACGTCATGGAATGCTTATAGTGGGCCACCTCTGTGCTAAATCCTTTTGGAAATCAGTTCATTTAATTCTCTCAATAGCCCTAGGCAATGGATCCTAGTATTCCTATTTTGCAGATGAAATAACTGAGGCCTTAAGTTACTCACCTCAGATCACGTGGTTGGTAAATGGTAGAGCTGGGATTAGAACCCAGAGCTTCTTGTTCCTTGAGTCTGTGCTCTCAACCACTGGGGACAGCCATCACCTCAGAGAGCACTGTTGAAGGAAAGATCCCTGGATCCTCCCCTGGGAGACTCAGGGTTCGGTCCTGATAGCTGCATGTGGCCTGGCTGTGGGCGAGTCAAGATGGCAGATGCTGGGGAAGCTTCGAACCCACCACACGCACTTGCTGCCAGGCTCCTGCAGAGGGAAAGTACAAAACACAAGGACTGCTTTCCCTTGTCACTTTCTGTAGTCTTCACTGTTCTTTCCACCTATTTTCTTTTCCTCCTCCTCCTCCTTCTGTTTCTTTCTTTTTTCTTTTGAGTTGGAATCTCACTCTGTCACCCAGGCTGGAGTGCAGTGGCATGCTCACGACCACTGCAACCTCGACCTGCTAGATTGACCATGCCTGGCTAATTTTTCTTTTTTTAAATTGTAGATATGAGGTCTCACCAAGTGGCCCAGGCTGAACCTGTGGGTTCAGGCAGTCCTCTCGCCTTCGCCTCCCAAAGTGCTGGGATTACAAGTGTGAGCCACTGTGTCCTGCACTCATTTTCTTTATAGCAGCTTTATTGAGGTATAATCCACATACCATAGAGTTGCACTTATGGTATAAAATTCAAGGGTTTCTACTAGAGTTGTAAAATCACGACCACAGTTGATTTTACAACATTCTCACCACTCTGTTCCACCAGCATCACTTCCGTTCCCCCTGCCCTGGGCAACCATTCATTTACCTTCTGCCTCTGGGTTTGTCTGTTCTGCACACTTCACATAAGTCAAGTCTTACACTCTGTGGTCTTTATGACTGACTTTGCTCACTTAGAATCATGGCCAAGTGCAGTGGCTCGTGCCTGTAATCCCAGTACTTTGGGAGGCCAAGGTAGGAGGATTTCTTAAGGTCAGGAGCTTGAGACCAGACTGGACAATAGTAAGACTCCATCTTTACAAAAAGTAAAAATTTAAAAATTAGTGTGCCTGGACAGGCGTGGTGGTTCACACCTATAATCCCAGCACTTTGGGAGGCCAAGGAGAGTGGACTGGCTGATCCCGCAGGTTCGAGACCCACCCGGGCAACTTGGCGAGACCTCATCTCTATAATAAAAAAATCAGCCAGGCATGGTGGTGCATGCCTGTAGTTCCAGCTACTTGGAAGGCTGAGGCTGAAGGATCACCTGAGCCCAGCCAGTTGAGGCTGCAGTGGCCGTGAGCGTGCCACTGCACTCCAGCCTGGGTGACAGTGAGACTCCAACTCAAAAAAAAAAAATTAGTGTGCCTAATTTCTAGTTCTAGCTACTTGGGAGCCTGAGGCAGGAGGCTTGCTTGGGTCCAGGAGTTTGAGGTTGCAGTCGGCTATGATTGAACCACTGCACTCCAGCCTGGTTGACAGAACAAGACTGTCTGTTAAAAAAAAAAAATGTTTCAAGCTCTGTTCATGTTGTAGTTTATATCCTTACTTCCTTCCTTTTATGACTGAATAACATTCTACTTTATGGCTATACTCATCTCATTTGTCTTATCTTAATCTGTCCACTTCGTTTTTAAAGGGAGGATACCTCTCTAACCCAGTTTGTTTTCCTGTTGACTTTTTGAATTTATTATTATTTGTATTATTCATTTTGTTATTTCTGATTTTTTTTTTTTTTAAGAAAGCGGGATTTATTAAGAGGACAGAAATGCTCCCACAGTGGGAGGGGACCCAAGGGGGTTGCCCGCTATTTCTGATTTGAGGTCAGAATTAAGAGTCAGAATGAAGCTGGGTGCAGTGGCTCATACCTGTAATTCCAGCACTTTGGGAGGTGGAGGCAAGAGGACTGCCTGAGCCCAGGGATTTGAGACCAGCCTGGTCCCCTTGGCCAGACCTCGTCTCTAAAATAAATTTTTAAAAATTAGCTGGGCGTGGTGGCACACGCCTGTAGTTCAAGTTACTTGGGAGGCTAAGGAGGAAGGCTCCTCTGTGCCCAGCACATTGAGGCGGCGGTGG